GGAGGGGGGGGTGGGGGATGGGGATGGGGGGCAATGCCGACAGGGGGAAGAGGAGAAAGCTGAGGAGAGCAAGGCCGCTCAAGCAGTTGTGCCCCAGGAGTTCATAACCTGTGCTCCAAATACCGGCAGAGCGGACTTGCAGCACACCTCCAAGAGAACGACGTTGGGGCACTTCTGCGGTGCGCCCGCTGCCCGTCTGCGGCCTTCGCGATGTATGTGGGTGTTTGGATGATGGTTAAGAGGCGTGGTTGGTGTTTGATGGTGGCGTAGATGTGGGTTTGTCGATGATGGTGGCGTAGATGTGGGTTTGTCGATGATGGTGGCATGGATGTGGGGTCGTGGGGAATGTTGGTTCCGATGTGGGGATGGCGTAGATGGACGTTAAGATGTGGGGGTGGCGTGGATGGAATGGCGTAGATGGAGGCTACGATGCAGGGGTGGCGTAGATGGATGCTACGAGGTGGGGGTGGCGTAGATGGTTGTTACGATGTGGGCGTGGCATAGATGGATATTACGATGTGGGGGTGGCGTAGATGGATGTTACGATGTAGGGGTGGCGTAGATGGATGTTACGATGTGGGGGTGGCGTAGATGGATGTTAAGATGTAGGGGTGGCGTAGATGGGTGTTTCGATGTAGGGATGGCGTGGATTTTTCGATGTGGGGTGGTGTGTATGGTGTGTTGCCCGCAAGAGATCATCCTTGCGGTCAATGGTGAGTCTCTGTTGTGATATGTATGTGTCAATGGAGAGTGTGCTAATTAGGCAGCAGCAGTTTCTGTTAGCCTCCTGGAGGGGCCGCTGCTGCCAGAAAGGGCGGAAGTTCTCCCGTCTGCTGCTGGGCTGTAGGCGGCGGTGGACTTGGAGTGTATCTCGAAGACACACGAGTCGATCTCAGCTCTTTTAGTCAGAGCAGAGCGAGCCATGGGAAGTAACAGCAAAAATGCAGCAGCAAGAACGCCTGCATGCACCAGCATGGCGGGGCGGGGGTCCCCGGAGAAGCGACGCTCTGCAAGGTACTCATACAACTCTTCTAGAGCAACAGAAGCCACGCCTCCTGCAAGGCAGATGCCCCCGACGAGTTTACCAAAGTTAGTTGAAGTAAAAAGAGCTCGGGTAAATAAAAAGACTTGAGGTGTACAAGAAACTAAATAAGGACAAAATAAACACACCGACAATGTTGAAAGAGCAGACCCCCCCACCCAACCAAACACTAAACTCAACAAGCCCGACAGATTCATCGCCATCATCATGTACACAACAGGCACAAAGTCCGCCCTGCGCAAACACGCACCCACACACTCTTAACCCTAAGCCCTTAAATGGAACCTTGACCCTATGCCGACCCAAATAACCACCCTCGTTCAAACCCTTGTATTTATCCCTTCGCTTCTGTCGCCCGCCCCAAATCGCCAAAAGGGTTTTTAAGGGTTCGCGTCGCGTGTAAGAATGGTTTAGGGTTTAGGGTTTAGGGTTTGTGTAAAGGCTGACACGCGTCCAATGAGGATGCAGAGGAAGGCGGATAGCGGCGCTACTGGCTTAACGGCTTGTAGAGCTACAGGGGCAAGGAAATCTTTATAGCGTTGAAGATAATAAAGAGCGGTAGTACCGCAGCAACTGAAGTAGATACACATCCCGATATACAGCAGAGAATATGCTTCAGAATAAAAAGAAAGAAAGAAATCGTCGTCCGTTACCGTGCTTATGCCGCCTCTCTCCTCCCCTACATCGCGAAAGCAACCCTCAAGGCTCGAGGTTGTTCCCTGTAGAGCAAGGGACCCCGGCATGCTCTGCTGATGCAGCTGCTTGGCACTTAGTTGAGACCGCCGCTGCTGCTGCAGCGAGGGCTGCGACTGCTGTTGCTGCAGAGAGGGATGCGACTGTTGCTGCTGCAGCGAAATCTGCGAGTTTTGATGCTGTAGCGAATGCTGCGACTTCTGTTGCTGTAAGGATATCTGCGACTGCTGCTGCTGCAGGAAAGGCTGTGACTGCTGCTGTTGCAGCGAACGCTGCAATTGCTGCTGCTTAAGATACGGTTCCGACTGTTGCTGCTGCAGGGGTTGCCCACATTGCTGCTGTTGCATGGATTGCCGGGACTGCTGTTCTTGCAACAGCTGCAGCACCTGCTGCTTCTGCTGCAGAGTCAAATGCGACAGTTGCGGTTGCAGTGCTTGGTGGGACTGTTGCTGCTGGAGCTGCTGCATCTGCTGTAGCTGCTGCAGCTGCTGAGCCAGCTGGGACTGCTGCTGCTGTTGCTGCTGTTGCTGCTGCTGTTGCTGCTGCTGCTGCCTCTGCTGTTGCAGCAGCGCCAGGCGAGACTGCGGTTGCACCAGCTGCAGCGCCAGCTGGGACTGTTGCTGCTGCTGTGATTGCTGTTGCAACAGCTGCTGTTGCTGATGCAGCGACCCCTGTTGCGACAGCTTTCGCTGCTGTTGTTGTGCCAGGCGGGACAGTTGCTGCTGCAGCTGCAAGGGGACGCGAGAGGGTTGCGCTTGTGTTTGCTGCTGCAAGGTGGAGTTTTGAAGGGTGAGACGGCCCGCTGATTCCTGCAGCTGTAGCTGCTGTTCTCGTTGCCGCTGCTGTTCCCGCTGCTGCTGTTGATCCTGCTGCTGCTGCTGGATGGGTGCAGGAGCAATTGCATTAGAGTTGATGGAGCGGATGAGGACAAAGAGGTCAGTGCCAATGAATCCTTCCAAAGGGACGAGCAGCCCCACAACAAGAAGATCGGCTATGAGGACAGACCCAGCATAGAAGAAGAAGACAAGAGAGAGGCTGCTGCCTGCAGTATGTAGACTATCGAGCAGGGAGGGTCCTGCGAAGCTGAGTGCTGCAGCAGCCCCCAGCAACATCAAGCAGAACCCCTCTGCAGAGGGGAAAAGACTGGCGATACCTAAGAGTGATATATATGTCATGCCTGTGCCTCCGCCGACAAAGAAAAGAGCCGGTACATACACTCGAAAACAAGGAGAAGCGAACCCAAGCAGCATCCAACCAGCAAATCGCATAGCAGCACCTAACAGAGCGGTGACCTTGGGGCCAGCGACGTCAACAAGAAGACCTGCAAGGGCAAAGGCCACGAAATGGCCGGCATAAGAGCATGCAAACAAGCACTGAAAAGCCTCCCGCTGCTCCGTACACATAATTGTAGCTAAATCCACATCCGGATCCTCCAGCAGCTTCTGCTGCTGCTGCTGCTGCTGTTCCTCGCTGCAACGCCAGGCAAAAACTCCCGAACGCACCATCATCGATCCCAGAGGCCCCCAGCCAAAGAAATCACTAAAAGTAAAAGCAATAAACAGCGCGTACACCAGAAGCAGCACGTAGCGGTTGAGGCCGTAGGGGGTTCGCTGAGTTGCTGCGGGGTGGCTGCTTGTTGGCAAGAATGCCTTGAACAGCCCCAAAAGGCGGGAGGAAAACCCCCCGCCCCCCCCGTTACACATCGTCGCCGCGACGGTCCAAACCCAAATTATCGATCACACACAAGACCTAAACCCTAAACCCTAAACCCTCAAAACCCGAGAAAACGAAAAAATCTAAGGACGACCTCGAACCCATAAAGCCCCAGCAACAACCCCGCCACCACAGATAAACCACAGGGCCGCCCATGCCGGTGCAGGCTCGAACCCTAAACCCTAACCCGTCAAATAAAACTCTAGGCCGAGCAACACAGCCCACAAGCACAACAATGCCGCTTCCTCTGGAGCCTCCAGATGTGAGGGTTTACGCCCCAGAGGGCGGGGTTTAAGGTTTAGCGTTTAGGGCTGGGGATGTAGCGATTGGGGTGAAGATACAGCTGGGCCCCAAAGATCATGGAGACGTAGAGGGCGCCAGCGGAAAGAGCTTCGATAGAAGAAGCCCCAAGCCGCCACTATATAATAGAAGAGGTGAGGGGGGTTGGGAGGGAATTTGCAATGAAATTTGCATAAAAAGAATGATTAAAAAATAAAAAAAAGGGAAAAAGAGAAAAAGTGCTGCTGCCGCTGCTGATGCTGCTGCCACAGCAGCAGCAGCAGCACCACTGGACCCCGGGGGCGGCGACTCCCCAATGGAAGTTTTTTGCCTACAGATGCCTTTCTTCGCCCGCTTTTTAGACTTTTTAAATTATCTCTATTCATTTTTTAAGGCAATTTCATCAGATAAAACAATTTTAAAAGGGAACAAACCATTAGCGGAGCAACAGCAGCCCCCGCGCCGACGTCCCCAAAGGCGCGCCCGCGCCTTTAGGCCCCCACTGCCTACATTGAGGCCCTCCCTTTCCCTTAGTCGTTTATTTAGTTCTTTTAGTTTAACCTCTTCATCCTTCGAAAAGGCTATTAAGCGGCCGCTTTGCAGTGCGGAAACGGCGACCAACAGCTCCAAACCGTACTAGACCCCAATGACTGAACCCTCGACGCACTGGTGAACACAAACCTTAAACCATAAACCCTAAACCCTTACTTTTCAAGCCTACATCCAGTCAGGTGTCTGTCAATAGACTCCAGCAGCAGAAGGAGCCGACTGTCACACAAGTTGAGTATCTGTCTTTACATAGTAGTATAACCTCTGTAGTCCCCCAGTAGCCCCCACGTTAGCCCCCAAGGGTACGAAGACTACGGCGGGCAGCAGTGGATCCAAAATACTGATATCGGAAGTCCCCTAAAAGTTTTCAATCGCCCTTCCAGAATCTAGGAATTGGGATATCAGCCAATTAATTGGAGGTGCGGGAGGAGAGGCGGCCTCCCACGACCTGCAACGCACATTGCTGCACCTCGTGGCGCAATACGGGCCCATATGCAAGTACAAACAAGCCTTCTTGGCTGTATGAAAATGTACTCTAGACAATTTCTGAGAACTGCTGCAAGTATACGTGTAATATTTGCTTAGTAGGGCCAGGTACCACCGCGTCAGCCAGCACGGTTTCGATCGTCTGGACAAAGAGTTCATTGCCGGGTATGCTGAAGACCTGGTTTTGCCGCATCTGCTTAGAATGCCGCTTCCTAACGTGCAAAACATGGTGAACTCTGCCGAGCTCTGTTCATCGGCGCCTTTGTCTATGCATACTCCGTTAGATTCGAAAGATGAGAACAGAACAAAAACCGTAATGTTGTCTTCTTTGAGTGAATCAGGCGAATCGGCAACACTGACCTGGGTCCCAGGATATCCAGAGGACACATCCACAGGGTTGGCAGAACATCTCCATACACAGACAGAGGAGACTGTGTCGCAGCAAAAGGAATAGTTTTGCCACCCAGCACACTTAGAACACGAAATATTTTGGCCTCGTTGTGTGTGAGGAGGCAACAGTTGCCAAAAACTTCAACAGAATCCAAACTTACGGTGCGTTGTACACGCCCACCCTTACATTAGCTGTCGGCGAGCCAAAGACTACCCGGAGATGTACATGGATGATAGTAATACTGTGTTTAGTAGGGGAACGCTTAACTAGAGGAGGTTTTAAAGACTCGGGTGTAGTCGTTTCTGGTCATATCACTGTGCCTCACTCTTCATGGGGGTCCGCGTGTTTCCCTGGTCGTTGGGTTTGTTCGCCTGATTGCTCTTCCCACAGGCTCGCTACTCCCACTGCTTTGTGTTTTGCAGTGAAGCAGGCGGCATCATTCGAGATTACAAACATACGAGAAAGAAGCAGATCCGCCTCTGGATAAGCCTTCCCCAGGTTCAGAGTGCCGACGGCTTTCTCTGTTGTTCCTTTCTGGATGGTGCTGACGTAGACCGCCGAGACGTCCAAAGGCTCAATATCCGGGTCATCTCCAAAACCGCGCCTTCCCTCTTAGCTAGGATGGTAGATGCACTTCTACCCTCTCTTTATTGCAGAAGCATTCCGTAGTCTCAGGGAAGTCAACTCTTTCACTTCTTATTTCCCTGTACGCTGCCCAGCTGGCTAGTGATTACGTTACTGATGACTGCCTCCCAATGCACCAACGATGTAGAAATTCTGAATCCACTGTTGGACTTCCGTTCATCAGTCACTAATATTTCCCGATATAGCAATATATCAACTGCCTCCATTGCTTAAGCTCCCCCAAACCTGCTGTAAATGGCTCCTTGCTCGACGTGCGAATAAATTTACAGTGCGGCGCATTCCTGACAGCTTTTAAAGACCAGAGGTTGTCCGGAAAACCACTCTCTCTGCCTGCATGCACTCACCATTGTTGTGCATTAACGAGGATGCTAATAGCAACTGTACCTCTTCCAGTGTATTGTTGTGACGAAAATACCGCTCGAGATAGGCCAGAGGCTTGAACAAAAGAAAACGCTCGTCGGAAATGCCTACACCTCTTCACGCCATCTAGATAGGGCGGTCACCCCAATGGACTAGTGGAAAGGCATTGTTTAGTGGAGGGGATCTAGAAATCACGCTTTATTCAATTGGACGAGGAGACCAACCGTTGGTCGCCTCCCTACCTGAGGGCAGAACCTGTTTGATATCTATTGTGCAAGAGAATTGAATGGCTGGCCTTTGACGATGCTTTTACAGGGGTTCAAGAGAATCCTTTGTGTACATTGGTGTTTGTTCCGTCGAAGCACCTTCGTCCTTGCTATTCACAGCTATGCGGCAGGGCGCCCTGCTGCAGGGGCGAGGGTCGTCCTTTGTGCCTGAACCATATGATTCGTGCGGTACTAACATGTGTAACTGTACTATGTCCTTATATTTTCCGTACTGCATGCTGCAACGTAGCCATAACACCTACGTGATAAATGACTAATAACAGCTAACGTCCCTACCCAGTATCCAGGCATCCTGGGCACAGTGGCCCAAGCCGCTGTTGCTGCGGGAGAGTAGACAGCCAGCGAGTAATTATAATACAACTTTCTACTACGCTAGGTGCAAGACAGTCATACATAGAAGTACAGAGAAGGTTTCTTGGGTACATGCAGGAAGACTGTAGAGCATTCCTGAAGTCTTCTGCTTGCGTATCATTTGCCTACTAGGTGTGGGTATGGATTAATCTGCAAACTTTATAGAGAGTCGCTAACATCGGATATTTTTTGTTACACTGCTGCTTCTGCCGCAGCAGCTGCTTCAGCTGCTGCTTGTGCTCCTACTCCCCCCCCCCCTCTTCCCCACTTTCTCTTCTGTCAGCCAGTGTTGATATAAATGGTTTTTGCGAATACTTTATCCCATATTTAATTACTTTAATTAAATTGTAATTTGTTGATTGGCAGAGGAGAGCAGAGAACGGGGGCTGCGCGGTATAGGCGGCGAGGCGGCCGCCGCTGCTGCTGCTGCCTGCGCTGCAGCAGCAGATGCATGTGATGAGGTGTACGTACTGCAGGAGTTGCTGTAGCAGTATGTTTTCTTTGCGTATTTTGTGTTTTTCTCTTTAGATGTTAAACCCGTAATTAGAGGTGTGTACTGCATTGCATTGATAGGGGTTGTGTGCCTCGTCGTAGGGGCTGCGAATTGCTGAGGTGTATATATACACCGCAAGGTTTCGGTTGGAGGTGCTGCAGCAGGTGCTGCTGCAGCTGCTGCAGCTGCTGTTGTTGTATTTGGTGAAGGT